CTCACTAGACTCGATAGGTGCGCACGACGCCGGGGATCACGCGTGGCACAAGCGGCGCTTTCACGCCATCTAATGATCCTGATACGCTACCAAGGTCAGTACGCGCGCGCACGGACTTCAAACTCACCCATCAGGACACACAGGCGCAAGGGGGCGCGGCAGAAGAGGGCATGGGGCGCGGGTCACACTGCAGGATGGCGCAGGGCGACGCCGCCACAGAAGCGCTCCAACGACGTCCCTGTGCAACAAGAACACCCTATACATGTGAGCACACCTCTAACGCATTCGTACGCACTATTCCGACGTACCAAGACGGCGCCAGGGACGGCCGTGCGCGAGTGCATGTGGCGGTTCCTGGTGGCCACCCAGGCGAGTGACAGGACCTCTCGCACGTCCACACACGGTTTCCCGCACCCAGAGGAGAAGAAACGCGCCGAAACGAACCTTCGAGACCGTTCCAAGCGCGAGGAGGCGAGTCCGAGGCCCAGAGTGTCCCCAGTGAGTACGAGTTCGAGGTCCTCTTGCCACAGTCTGAGGTCCGAGTTCCCGCAGATCCGTGCCGCCAGGAGATCGCCGTTTCCGCCCGCAAGACCGTCCCGGAGCCGGGAGCCAAGAGAAGCGCGGTCGAGGCGAGGCGAGGGCGCCGGCGGGGAGGGTTCGGTTGGGTGGTGGCGGTGCGAGAGAGAGATGGGCGAGGGAACGAGTTGTGGGTGCCGCGGGCGTCTGCTTCGCGTCCGCGTCCTCTCGTGATCGCGCGGGCCTCCAGGGGAGAGCGCTGCCTCGCGGAGGGGCGCGAACCGTTTGCGGAGTCGTATACGGCCAGTGGCGACTTCCCGGACGCGTCTCGAGCGGCGGCGCGCACCTGGGAGCTGTTCGCCGAGTGGAGAGGCCGCGGATTTGAGCTCCCCGAGCTTCCCTTGAAGTACGGCTCTCGCAGAATTGCGACGACGCGATTCCGCGAAGGCAAGTACAGCTCTAATTTATTCGTGTACGCATTACTGTACGATTCGTGCGTCTGGATGCGAGGCTGCTCGAGTAGCGGGGCCATTTGGAGACTGCGCCTTCGTGTCTCCCTCCCCGAGTCCTTGTAGCACATTTCGCGCATTGCAAGCGTGCCGCGCGGCGCGAGCAAGTACGTAGAGTTTCCATGCATTCCCTGTGCCCTATTCGACGTATTCAAAATCGAAATACATTTGATTTCGCAACTTGTGCCTACTCACGATGTGCAACCCGCCTTGCCTCCCCACTCCTCGTCCTCCCACTTCCTCCCCACTCCCAGATAACCCCCCACTGCCCTCCCGGAGTCAGTGATTCTCGTCCCACCCGTTTGCACACCGCCCCCGCATCATCGCGCCGCCCGCGCCGCGCTCGCATCAAGTACGAGCCTCGAAAGGTACTCGTAGCTCTTGGCGAAGGTCGCCGGTCCGAGGCGAGCCCCCGCACACACGCAGCCAGCTTCCGATCGAGTGATAGTGAGTCAATTGAATGTACAGTCCCGGTATGTAAGTATGTACTAATCGACACTGAACGGTACGTATGGGTCCGGTCCTACACTGTAACAATATGAAAACAAATGGGGCGACAGTGTGCGTGCGCAATCTCTAGCGATACATGCCTTCCGATACTCCTCCAAGGTCCTGCTACCGAAGGCCTCCTGGGCGTTCGGATCCTTCAACGTACGAGGGGCGGCTTACGAATGCCCCGACGTATGCGCGGCGCCTTACGCGATGGTGCTGGAAGTCTGCGTGCGCCCCAGGCCACCTCGGCCCCGCCTTAAACGGCGTGGCGAAGCAGAAGGGGCGGACGGCCGCGAGGCACTCGCGGTGCGCGACGACATCCGAACGGGTCCGGGCGCGGGCGCGGGCGCGGGCGCGGGAGAAGCGGGTGGCGTGCTCTGCGGTGTGGCCGGGGCGCTCAGGCGCCGCTTCTTGTCGACATGGGACGTGTCTGCGTTGTCGACATGAGACGCGTCTGCGTTGTTGGCTGCGGCCGCGGAGCTGTCGTAGGCTTCGCCCAGTTTCCACGCGATGGCGTTCATGAGTCGGGGGTCCATACGCGGAGGCCCGTCGTCCATGTCGTCCATGTCGTCCAAGTCCGACATGTCGATCACCTTCGATGGGTCCTCCTCTGGCTCCGGCTCTGGCTTCGGTGCCGGCTTCCTTGGGGCCCCACCTGCTTTTGGCGTGGCCTCATCTGCTTTTGACGATGACTTGTTCTTTAGCTTCGACACAGTCTCCAGGCGCAGAGTCGCGCGGTATGCGGCCGTAGGTTTCTTCACGCCCTTCGGAATGCAGA